ATTTACACATTGCATCAAATCATATTGAATAAATCCATTCACAGTTTCATAAAAGTAAGGTTAATTTAAATTTCACCATTTGGACAAACATTAAGGAAGTTGAGGTAATTGCTTTGACTTTGTGGCAATCTCTCCTCTGAGTAAGCATATGGTACAGGAGAAAGGAAAAACTAAAGCCAACATGCATTTATCGGGGTAGTTGATTTAAGGATGACAAATAAAATGAACATATAGTTAATTTCAATATTAGCCATACTCGTCAGTAACATTCTGAAAATATCATGTTAGATTTTCTTGATAACAACATTATTTTGTTTTCAACAAAATGCCAGATTCAACAGCAAAGGATTCAATGATAAATGTGAAAACTACTGCAGTTCTTTGCTTAAACATCCTTAAAAACATAAAGCAGGGAGAGTTTATCCACACCCATTGGAAATTTAAAGTTGTTTTATTTTGGAATATGTTTTTATTTATCTTCCTATTTTGAAGGCATGTTTACTCTGTAAGGGAGTAATGTTCAGATTTTGGAGAGTTTTGATCTAAGATAATCTGTAAACTTCAAAGACTTGGAGCTCATTTTTACTGATAAATTCTTAAATTAGCAGAAGAAAAATGTTAAAACTGTTTGATTAAAAACATTAAAATTGTTTGATTGCTGTATCAGCAGTAAAAAAAATTTCCCACTGAATATTGTTAAGTATGACATGCCATCTCTGCCATCAAGCCAAGGCAGCACGGCTCGATGGTTATTGGAAACTGGATAGAAATAATCAAAAACTATCTTGCAAATTGTCAAGCTAAGGATTTTTTGAATAGGTCTTTGGGATTTTTGCCTAATTAGTTAATTCCATAATTAAAGTGATGCATTGAAAGAAAGCTGTCAAGCTGAATGCCTTATGAGGAAAGCTGCAACTATTGATCCTTTTCAGGTCTGAGCTTGGCAACTGAAGGATGACCATAAATCACATGATCACTCTCCTTCAACCCTCAGGCAGAGGGCAGGGCAGGCCCTCTTTTATTATGACGCTCATTTAGAGACCCAGCTGACGTCTATTGGAAACATTCTAGTTATTTAGACTTAATGTTTATTGCCCCAGTCTTGCTTTTATCAGAGATTGATGTTCTTCATTTTGGTTTTATTACTGTTAGGTGCGTGATAAGCAGCCTAATTCGTCTTCCCGTTTTAATCTCCTCGTCAACAATCAGTCCATTCAGACTTCTCAAGCATCAACAAATACTTTCAGTGTGGTCGTTTTAAAGGAAAAGTGCAGTAACATTCAGAATACAAGCTTCTGAAAGTACTTTAAGTATGAGATTATTACATACTTTTTAATAAATAAGTGTTTTTAATTAAGAGTTATTTCATTTGAATGTGCTTTACCAGAGACATCCATGTTTGTTAAAGAACACTACTGCCACCTACCGGTTCGTTACGGTGCGGTATTGGCTGTTGAGCAAGTCGCGCCATTATCCATGATGGCGACAACCAGTGCTCTATGTGAAGCAGAGATTAACGGATTAATGATGTGTTTTTCTCTGGCCAGGAGTTCGATGGCAAATCCTGCCTCTTCAGGTTGGCAATCCAACCGAGAACCCATGATGAATCATGAATCTGAAAGGTCAAATCACTAATCTTTTTAGTCACTTTTATCCAATGTATTACAACATCCAACTTTCAATGGTGAAGTCCCCTTTGAAATCTTAAATAAGTGTTGTTGATGGCAGGGGTGTCGAGTAGTTCCCATTGAATTTGCTTGTAAAGCGGGGAGAATGGCGCTCGGCTTACTGAACCATGACGTCTGCCGGAAGATATCAGGAGTAAGGTGTTCCCGATCTTGGGGATCGCGACTAAAAATATTGCTTTATTTTTTTTCACTTGTTAATGCTAAATACATTAAATCATCGCAAACGTATTAGTTTAAATTATAAATAATGACCCATTGGTTATTCCTTGCTGACCGGACTTTTCCTTTAACTCTGAAGTTCATCAGGCTCAATTATTTTATGTCTTTTGAATGTTTGCACCACTATTTCATATCTAGTTTTGAAGAGAGTGGATTCAGAATATTTTTAAACTGTTGTTCTAACCTGCAGGTGAGGAAATGTTTTATTTTTGGACAATTAAAATTTCTTAGGTTGTGAAACTTTGTGGGTCTGACTAAATAGTAATACAGTATTGTTACGTGGTGCTAATTGTGTGATTATGACCCATTATTGGAACAGCTCTGGGATCCTTGGCTTTCACATGTGGGTTTATTTTCTGAAACTGGCAGCGGATCACATACTAAAAGTGTTGCTGCAGCAGAATTGAGCTGAGCAGCTAAAGTGTAAAATAAAGGCCATCTGTGACCGAATGTGTTACACAGAGGGCTTGTGGAGCCGGCTCGTTATCCTCTTAGCAGCTCAGATCCTGAGAAATACTACATACTCTTCATCAGACTGAGGAGATCATTGATCACTAAACCACAGTGTTAACAGATGGCAGACATGATGGTGTCTGTATTAAACACCAGGCATAATGTTTTACCTTTAATATAGGAGCTTTCGGTCTGTGAAACTTGTCAGCCTCTAGCTTTACCTGAGAGGTATGCTGGATTCATACTCTTAAGACATTGGAACCCTTTGCTCATTAATAAGAATGTAAAGATTCTTTTTTTAATGCACTAAACAAAACATTTTAATTATAATTATGGTTAATGGTTGGAACTCTTTGAATTATGGTTACCTTCTGCATATTTGTAATGTGTCATAAGCACTAAAGAAACAAGCAAGATTGGAGCATGACAAAAGACGGTGTATGTTAAAGGTGTTGTGTTTGCCGGGGCTTCCTCTGCAAGCTGACAGCAGGAACAGCTGTAGATTAGAGCAAGACGCTAGGCAGAGAGTGCATAGAGCTGGGACCTGCCCTGGAGCTAAGGGATGAGGGTGAATACTGGATGATTTTACAGCCTTTTTAAAGCTAAATTAAAACAACTTCTTGAAAAGCCACCCGCAAACCTGTCGAGCTTAATTACTTACTTTATTACATTACTTTTTTCTATCTTTAATTTTGATCGGAGAAAAAAAGCTTTGTCTCTGCTGCGATCCTTCACCTCATGTTACTGCCACATACAGTTCTGAGTGATTATCACGATGTGACAAGAAACATAAGTTTTCCAACTCAAGCAACCAGATCCATTGTAAGTTTTGTGTTGCTGTTGCAATAGCTAAAACTGTGCCTGACGCGTTGCTAGAAACAAATCCACCACATTGCTTTATATAATGGTGCTGTGGACTGTTTTTTGAGAACGCACCATTAGAATAAATCTGTGAGGATAAAGCCCTCCATACTACGGTTTGGAATTGATAAGGTTTTCACCATTCCGATTCCCTAATCGATCCTGTGAAACGATTAGATTCCTTATCGATTCTCCTATCGATTCTGTGAAACAATGAACTTGGTAAGTGCACAGTGACATTCGTCTACCTTCGCCTGAGACATTCTATTTCTACCTGCCTTGGTGAAAACAAAAGGCAGTGAACTGGAGCTGCCAGCCTCTGAGCCAGCCAGGCTACCCGTCTAAATGGAGATGGCATCCGTTTAATGAATAAGCATTACAGTACAATTTCGGGAAATCAAATAATCTCCCCGTGATTTAAATAAACGAGCATCAACTTTCTCTCGCTCCCTGAACTGCGGAACAACTTCATAGCATAACCCACAGAGAGGTAGGAAATTGGTTTATTTCCAGAAATGGAATATGATTTACTAGGAACCACAATAAGCACAGCCAGTGATATAAAACGAGCCAGTTACCACCAGAGTCGCCTTCCATGCTGGTCGTAACTTTAGCTTCTGTCTGGAAGCATCAAAAACACGGCATTAGTTCAAATGTATGCCATGTTGTGTGCACAGGTGTTTCTGCATGTTGGATGTAATTCCTCCCGCGGATGTTATTGCCACTTTACTTCCAAACTTTCGATCGGTTTACCTGATGGGACGCCATTTTTTTGTTTTTTCTTTTCTAGACTTACGCCTGGTCACGTGGTACTTGCTTTCTGAATGCTGTGTGCGTAACTTATGTGGAAAACATGGCATAAGTCATGCTGCCTAGCGCCCTCTGGTGCTGCCTGGACTCGTTAAAAGAACCATTAAGCAAGCTGCCAAACTGTGCCATGGAATTGTAACACACAGAGCCAGTTCTGAACAGGAACCGGTTTTCGATTCGCATCCCTACCCCATACATAACAATTAACATCTATCAAAAGGTGTAAACATAATTCTAGCTTTCCTCTATTCATACCTGCATTCTAATTGGGCACACACATCGACCACAAACCCGCAAACTGCTGCCTTTTGTCCCTCCTATTGATCAATTGCTGAAAAAATTGACAACTTAAAATGAGGTAAAAACTTAAACAGTTGAGACTTACCAATTTTGTCAATTTCGAGTTTTTAAGTTTTACACTTAAAATTACCTTTACACTGAAAACGATTGTAGTTTCTTGACTTGAAGCCTATTTATAAGCACTGATGGGGAGATATGCAAAGGTATTGAAATGAACTGTTTTTGTTGCCACTTTTGGGTTGATTCCAAAGAATCTTCAAAGCCAGTTATCTATTTGAAATACTTTGTAGAGTGCCAACCTCCAAATGGTCATGTTTTTTTCCAAAGCTTTTTGATTTCCTCAGGCTTTAAGTAATTAGAAAGCTTAGATTCCAGTCTTTGAGGATCTGTAAGTACCTTAAAACGGCCTGGTGTAAACTTGCTCATGGGTTTGCCATGGCCTGTCATATTTTTTATTCAGAGTTTTAGATAATGGTATGAAGGCTCTGATTAAAGGCGTTTTTTTTTGTTTTTTTGTTTTTTTTTTAACCTTTTGATCTAAATCTTTTATTACTATCACTTTGCTAGGGCTTTTTTGCTAAATCAAACCCAGTCTGTCTTTTAGTGCTGTAGAAATCTGAGTTCACATTATCTCAGTTAAAGGTTGCCCTCATCTGTTTAATTTCACAGAAGGAGACTCATCTCTCAGCGTTCCTCACTAGAAACTCTGGAAGACATTGAGGAGAACGCTCCTCTACGCAGGTACAAGCAAAAAATCCTCTCAAATTAACTTGGGGAGGGGGATTCCACCTTCTTTGACATGACATCCGTATAAATACAGACTGCGGAAGAACCACAGTGCTGGTACTATTGGACCTCAGTGCAGCATTCGATACTGTAGATCACTCCATCCTGTTAGAGCGCCTGGAAAACTGGTTCGGCCTCTCTGGTACAGCTCTCAACTGGTTTAAATCATACTTAAAGGACAGGGACTTTTTTGTGTCAGTAGGTAACTTTACATCAGAGATGACAAAAATCACATGTGGGGTTCCCCAAGGGTCCATCCTGGGTCCCCTCCTATTCAATATCTACATGCTCCCTCGTGCTCAGTTAAATAAAAACAACAACATCAGCTACCATAACTATGCAGACGACACACAGCTTTACATCACCATGTCACCAGGTGACTATGAACCCATTCAAGCACTGAGGAAATGCTTAGAAGAAATCAATGCCTGGATGTGCCATAATTTTCTTTAACTGAATAAAAACAAAACTGAAGTAATAATCTTTGGACCAATAGAGGAGAGATCTAAAGTTAGCACACAGCTTCAGTCGCTTCAGCTAGTAACCACTGATCAGGCACGAAATCTAGGTGTAGTGCAGGGTTCAGACTTGAAGCTCCAAAAGCATTTAAAGACAATTACAAGGTCGGATTTCTATCACCTGAAGAACATTTCCAGGATTAAAGGACTAATGTCTCAGCATGATCTGGAAAAACTAATCCATGCGTTTATTTTTAGTCGAATTGATTACTGCAACAGTGTTTTCACAGGTCTGCCTAAAAAGTGGATCAGACAGCTGCAGCTGATCCAGAACGCTGCTGCCCGTGTCCTCACTAAGACTAAGAAAGTAGAGCACATCACCCCAGTTCTAAAGTCCTTACACTGGCTCCCTGTATCTCAGAGAATAGACTCTAAAATACTTCTGTTAGTCTATAAATCTCTGAATGGCTTAGCACCTAAATACATCACAGACTTGCTATCAGTGTATCAACCTTCCAGACGACTCAGGTCTTCTGGCTCCAGCCTGCTCTGCATGCCTAGAACCAGATTAAACATGGAGAAGCAGCATTTAGTTCCTATGCTCCACTTATCTGGAACAAACTTCCAGAAAACTGTAAAAGTGCAGAAAGCCTGAGTTCCTTTAAATCAAGACTAAAAACACATTTGTTTAGGATTGCCTTCGACTGTTCTAGTTAAACAGTTCAACTAAAACATATTTTCTTTAATCCAACTGTTTTTAATATTCTTTTTTTGTTTCTGCATTTTTTTATTTGATTTTATTTATTTTTTAATTTTTTCATACTTGCTTTGATTCGGTTTTATCTTCTTGTATTTTAATCATGTAAAGCACTTTGCATTGTCTTTGTACTGAATTGTGCTATACAAATAAATTTGCCTTGCCTTCTTTATCTGTGTAATTTTCTTGTTGGTTGTGTATTTTAGATGCCGAACCCTATCGGGTTCACCTCGACCAAGGAGCTTCAAGAAGATTCACTTCATAAAGAACATTCGTCAACATGATATGCACAATGGAAGGTATGAAGTCAAGCAGAAGCCATCATTCAGTCATTGCAGGTCCTCATTGAACGATGTGAAGCTACACCAGTCAATGAAGTACAGTTTGGTTCTTTCTCACATTACAGGGAGCAGGCCCTATCCATTCACAGCATGTCCCTCTGACTTGCACACAAAGAAACTGGATATCCAATCCAGTTGAACTGTTATGCAATCTAATGAACTTGTATTTGAATATTTATCAGGTTAACACTGACTTTCTTTTTCAATCACACACCTAGTCTCACTGCTGGATGCTGAAAAGAATGTTTTGATCACTTTTCAGAAGCATGTATGCAACACAGAAACTGCTTGCATTCAACAAATTCTGCCTCCGATGTGCTGATCTTTAACTTATTACTGAGGAGAGACTTTATTTTTTGGGAAAGGAGTGATTTTATTTCTAGATTCTTATTGATCCTTTGACTTACACAGAGAATGATTTTATCTATATCATTTTAGAAAAGATGATGGATTTGGTGGTACTTTTTAAGATGGGCTCAGTCTTACCTTCCCATTATTGGTATTGATTAGCATGTGCTAAAAAAGGTGCACTAGTGTTGCTCATAAGCTGGATAGATCCAGCTCTATTAAGAAATGATTGGAAGATTTTTTTTTTTAACCTTTCCTAAAGTCAACTCTTATCATAGTATGTGCCATGTACTGAACTAGACCTAACATGTATTTTAAAAATTTTAGCTCTACTTCAACAGGAAAATAGGATGTGAGAAATAGCATTGTATAAAGGTATTTACGGAGCTATCACCTTTTTAAAGTTTTGGCTTTTATGCTGATATTTATTTTTTGCTATGGTCCATGTGTCGGACAATTTTTTTTTTTAGAGAAATACTGTTTATTCAATTAAATTCAAAAATACTTTATTAATCCCAAAGGGAAATTACATTTAAATCATTAATTACTTCCTTACAGAGTACTTTAAAGTATTTTACACCATTATCAAACCTATGTTTAAGCTCATAGATGCTCTATAAGTCCAATATTCTCGAGTTTGACCCTCGATTCTCCTTTAGGATTTACCGGTACAGAACAGAGTTCATGGTTTCATCAACTAGAGCAAGTTCTAAAGCAGTCCAACACCATAACACCCCCAGCAACATGCCTGACTCAATTTTCTCTTTGTGTTTTACTGTAAATATAACATGGGGCATACATCTTCCAAAACATTTTTTCTTTGCCTCATCAGTTCGTGGAATATACATCTACAAGTGTTTTGGATATTTACAAACCAAAAACTTTGCTTTGATTAGTTATTTGAAATCTTTTATGTCTAGTTTATTTGATATTACATTTTTAAGTGTCACCATAAAAGTAAAAAGAGAAGTGATCCAACGCTGGTTTAAAAATACTGATGAACTAAATGGATAAACCATTTTTTCGACTTATTATAGACGTATTAAAATATATATACCAAATTGTGAACCATTGGTCCAAGAAATAAATTGTCTCTCAAAAATTAATAATGAAAAAAATAAATCTATAAAATACCGACATTTTTTTGAACCGTGCTTAAACAGAATTATTTTAAAAATAAACTCATGAAACAGGCCTGTACAAAATGATGGTACCCCTAGAAACAAACTTCAAATAAGTGTGACCAAAGACACATGTTAAGGAGAGGTGTGTTCACTAATCAGCATCACAGGTGTCTTTTAGTGAACAGTGGGCCTTTATATAGGGCTGCAGGTAGTTACATTGCTGTTTGATGGCCTGGTGTGTACCACACTCAACATGGACCAGAGAAAATGAAGGGGGGTCATAAAGGAGCCAGTGTTCAATAAAACATTTTTTGCACTTGCTTCAACTGATTTAAAGATTTATTTAACACTTTAAACTTAAGTAATACTTTGCAATATTTCCCCTCAGGATTAGAGTACTCACAAGTTGTAGAGGTATGCCCACACCTGTTAAAAAAAAAAAGATGGAACAAAGTTCCTTACTGAGGTTTTCCAATCTTCTCTTTGCTCTGAAGTTTTACCTGCCATCTCTCTCCAACCTAAACCTGTGGATCTTCACCAGATAGATGCTCATCAGCTTGTTCACCATTTTCTTTTTCATAGGATAGTCCTTATCAGTGGCAGAAGATCCTTCTATAGTGTATTTTCTGTCCTGCCCTATCAAGATTGTAGCCAAACAGGGTATGTATCAGACGGCATGCCGTACTCTTTATGACTCCGCCCACCCTGTGCTCCCTCTTTACCTCCCATCTTTCTCTTCTGTCCACACAAACTCCCTTCCAAGCTTGGTTTTAGCCGATTAATTTTTACCTGAATGGGGTAATAAACATCCAGCTGAAAACGGCTTGAAGGGCTTAATTGTGTGTTTGTATGTTTCAGTATAAATAGACTAAATGGCTTTTCCGCTTGTTGCTTTTGGTCATCATGGTTCTGGTGGCTTGTGGGGCACTCATCCTTTTATTTCCCACATACTTTTCATCCATAGCTGGCTTTGCTGTCTATCCTGTTTACCGTTCCTGGGGTAATTGCTCCTCTTAGGTGTAGTCCTTTTAACCCTGAAATAATAACCCTGCATTTTGTGTTGGTTTTATTTTAAGCCATGCTTTATTTGTTACTGCTCTACCAACTGTGGGAAACATGCATATACTAGACGTTTTTAAATTTTTGTTATTTAAATGGATGAAAAAGAGTTCCAGGGGGTCTCGACCTCAATGAGCTGTAACACAGGACTAGTTGTGACACCTCACCTCTGCAATATCACTTGTTTTTTTTAAAGCCGAGAAAGAAACAGGGCAGGTAAACACCCAGCCATACAATGCACAGAAAGAAAAGCTCCATGTTGAGGTTTAGTGAGGAGCATAACAGGCTCAGAGTATTTGTGGAATGTCCTAAGCCCACCAGTATGTGCAGGGTCAAAGGTTAATTAGCACCAATGCTGTCAGTGTGCACATTGGTTGGTTTTTGAGGCATTGGGAAGTTTTCTATTAAGACTTTTGCCCCTTGTTTTGTTTTATTCTGGGCAGATTTACATCCTACAGTACGGCTGAAACTGAAAATCCAAGAGTAAAAGGGTCAAACTTAAGATCAGTTTTTATTATACCTCGTCACCATTTGTTTGTTTTTTATTAACTTTTTCTGTTCAAAGTTTCACCAGTATATCGTAAAAAAGCACTGCTACAATCACACATTTGTGCACTGAGATTAGTGGTTCAAACCGACTGCTTCGGTTGGCTGGATGCTGAATGGATGCATGTCCTGCTCCCTGGATCAAGTCCAAAATAATCCAGGGACTTTTGATAATTTCTTTGAAGATGTAATAAATTGCCTTGACTTAATTTTTTTGCCATTCTCCAAAGTTAAGAAAAAATTCAGTTCAGTGCTCTGGGGAAAAAAAAGGTAGTGGATCAATAATTATTTTACTACCACCAAGGATATGGTGATGGTAGTGTATAGTTCTCTTTAAAAGAATGGCAACTGACTCATTTGTTGTTTTTGTGTTTATTCTACATTTTCTATTAATTCAAAGAACTTCTAATCAATGGAAAATTAATTTGTTTTGATCAGTAATCTGCTTAAAGGTTTTCTCTGTCTGACTGATATGTGTTGATCTCCTTAATACCAGGAGATCAACACATCCTAAGTCTGCCCTTTGCACAGTAGGAGCCATAATAAAAACAGTCATTGAGGTTGGTAATGGAGGATAATTAGCTCCTGACAGTCTGCTCTTGTCTCTGTAATGGAAATTTGTTTCCAGTTTTTCCAACACGTGCTTTTATTCCTAAATAATAATGCTTGTATTTCTTGCCGATTGGGTTGAAAATGGACAGCAATTTGTATAGTTATGTCTAAATCTAAACATTTATTACAGTGTTTATATTGTTATTGTTTATATTTTGTTTTAAAAGGTAATGAGTGTCGAGCTGTACAGAGTTCCTGCACTGTACGACCCGACACTGAGATCTACCTGCTCTCACTGCACATCCAAAAATCAGTCTGGAAGAACTCCTTTTTTTGTACATGTGCAGTACGTGAGATTTTGGTAAATCGGATCGTAGACGCTTGTAACCCTGCTTCAACAGCAGAATTTGCACATGAACACCTCACAAGGGCTGCCTGAATTTCCAGAATGTCTGATTTTCTCCCAACCTTACGATTCCTGATCAGAAGGTGGTCGTGAGAGACTGATAGCCCTCGAAACTCCGATCAAAGAAATTATTGGCACGATTGGAGAATCGGCCCCAAAAAGGGAAAAAACGAAATAACTAAATAAAATAATGTATGCCTTCCTTTAAAAAGGGCTACAACTGTACATGTTTCCATCTCTTACAACAGGATAACACCAAAAGCAGCCGTGTAGAAGAACACTCAGTTCAAATAATAGGTCAGATTATAACTCCTTTAATGATTTGTTGCCTTTCCTTTCAAAATATATCATATAGGATCATGTTATACATACAATTTTAAATCTATGTTTAAACCTTGCAATATGGTGTGTATAGGGGGCATTCAAACTGAACTGATAAAATGTTAAATATTTTTAAGGGAGATCAACCTATTTGATAAAGTTATTGACTTGGCAGTAGGCCCCTACTGGCAGAGTCTCATAACAGCCCCTGATAAAATAATAAGTTGCTTTGCATTTGTCTTATTTGGTCAACTGATGGGATCACAACATATAAAACTGAACTTGTTTATTTCTTTTAAAAGGATTCATAAAGTATAATAATGCTAATAATACCACTAATAATAATAATACTTTTCTTTATTTATACTTTTTACAATAATAACAATAATAATAATAATGATAAGTAAACTGCATTCAGTCAAGCTGAGGATGATCAATCATTTTGTTTCACTTAATTTGGAACTCTGAACCAATTTGACCTGATGAACTCTTAGACTAAAACACTAACATACAGATCAAATGAAACCTCAGGATCATGCAGGTTTTTACTTTTGCTTTTTTTCATTACCTGTTTAATCCTCATCATAAGGTAATATTGTTTATTATCTTTTTTCCTCCCCATATTTCCATAGAAATGCAATTATTAGCTAACGTGTCTTCATTAGGATCTATGTTATTTGGATTTGTCAGTACTGTGTACTGCCCTACTTGTCCATCTGATAACAGTTTTTCTTACTGCAGATTAGGCTACACATGTCGCCAAAACACAGGTTTTATGTGTATACATGTCAATAGATGTAAATCATAAGCAAGAATGAGGCATGGATAATAAGGAGACAGAAGACGAACAGGATGGTATTGTGATGTCACCTTGCCAGTTTTTAAATAAAATGCTTTTAAATAAAAAAAAACTATTTGACTTTAGGCACAGATAAATACTATACCATACTTTTAATTAAGTTATACTGAAATAGGAGACATTCCTTGCTTGTTTCAAGTAACAATTTAAATGTGTTGGAAATTGATGTCTTGTCAATAATAATCATTAATTGCAGTTATGCTGGGTAGTTATTAATTTCATGGCAGAACCAAATAAAAAAGCTTAAAACGAAAAAAAAAACAAATTTCTTATAGATGAAGAGATCTGTCTTCTGAAGAGCTTCCTCAGAGAAATGTTGCTGTCCTGTAGGAAGATGTCACCTGGTTTGAAACTGACTTTGGGTCACGGCTGGTTTTCAAAAGCATAGAGCTCAGTTTTGAGCGTTATGCCAATGTACTTACAAACCAGTTCACTCTTTCCTGTTGGGGACCTCAACTAGGCTAATAAAATGGCACTAACAACCCCAGATTTTATATGGGGTAACGATTAATCTAAAAGATTAATCTTGCTTGATCGACTATTGAAATAATCATCAACTAATTTAGTAATCGATCAATCGTTAATTACAGTATTGAGACTCATAAACATACCTTTAGTTGACAGAGTGACCCACTTAGAGCAGTAATCATATCAAAATTTTAAATTTGCATTTAAAATAAATAATTTTCATCTGTCATTACTATCCACGACTCCTGAAGTGGAAAAGTTTTAGTTTCCCCAGTTTGATTTATAAAAAATCTTCTTTAAAGAACCTTGGTTATCCAATTACTAATCGAAATGATAATCGACAGAATAATCGTTTTGCTAAACAATCGTTAGTTGCAGCCTAATCTGCATGTTAATCACTTAACCCTTTCCCACTGGCTGAAAAGCCAATTTAAACTCATTAACAATCAGCTTTTAGTGGCAGGTGGAACGGCTCACTGACCCGGCACACTGGAAAAAATCTAAATCTAGATAAGTAATTTTTTCTTAAAATAAGTGCATTTGTTCTTGGATTAAGGAGGTAAAAGACATTTTGCCAATGGAACGAGACAATTTACACTTAAAATAAGAAAACACAATTGCATTGTCTTATTTCAAGTGCATATTATCTAATTGTCTTATTTTAAGAGTAAAAATACTCATTCCATTGGCAAACTACCTGATTTACTTACTCAAGTTAAGGGTAAATACACTTAATTTAAGGAATTTTTTACTTATTTCTAGATAGTTTTTTCCAGTGCATCTAAACCTAACCCGGCCTTGACAAGTGACCCAGGTTAAAATCGCCTTCAACCAGCTTGGCATTGACCGGTATATAGTGGGAGCATCAGCCCTGGGTTCACCTGCTGATTTAGGGGATACCATTAAGTGCAATGTATGGACGTCAACACACCGTGCCAGTCGCTTCTTACCTTACAAGCGGAAACACCTCTGTGTACATTGAATAAAAATGGAGACTCACTGGTAAGAGGGATTGGGACAGGCGTACAGGTGGTGCAGCAGTTAGCGCGCACGACCCATGTACGGAGGCCTTAGTCCTCGATGAGGCCGATCCGGGTTCGAATCCAGCCTGTGGTCCTTTGCGGCATGTCTCTCCCTCTCTCTCATACCCCCGTTTCTGTCAGCCTATTGTCAAAAAAATGAGCTTATAGTGCCGCCAAAAAAAAAAAAAACTAATTTGTGTAAAACCTCTGATTTCCTGTTTAGAAACGAATGTCTCTTTAAAATCCACCTTCCTATCATCCTTTTTTTATTCATACACCCTCCAAAACTGAAATCGTGATAAAATATAGGTTAGTTTGTTGAAAAGGAACGGTGAACCTTAATAAATTACTTAATACAAGTGATGGTTTTCTCTCCTTGCACGAGCACATATTTCAGCTGAGTGTATTTTACTGTAAGCAGAGGAAAAGTATATTTGGCTCTAGTATATTTGCTTTTTCTTCCAGCTGACTGTAAATACTTAGAAACGGTTGGGAAAGCAAGATTATATATAATTCAATAAAATTACATTTTCTTTCCCAGGTTCAATTAAGAAAAGCTAAGCAAGCAAAATCAAGCAAAACATTATTATTTTTTTTTTTTTTGTGTCTGATGTTAATCTGATATTTACAAAAATCTCTGCTGCTATAGTCTAGTACACCACCTTTTTGCTGAAGTAGTTGGTATATACAGTATTTATATAGTCCTGCGGTAGCCACACATTGCCCCACTGACACACATTTGGCTCTCCAGCCAACTGTTTTAAGACACTCTCCCATATTAGTATGGCATTTCAGGCTTCTGTGAGGCAGCAGCTGACAGAGTTTGGCTCAATTTTCTCCCTGTGTCTCCCAAGGGCATCATTTATTTCAGAGTGCCCTTAGAAGCTCCTGAAAACAAGAGCCGTTAACAGAGACTAGGTCGGCTGCTCAGCGCAGGTCGATGCAGGGTCTGCGTGTGCAAAGCACAACAAGAGTGTTAGAAAAGGAGATGGAGCAGGACTAAAGGAAGCTGCAGCATCATTTGTTTGGCGAGAGCTCTAAGAGTCTTGTGCTCATCAGGGAAGTAAAGACTGAAGGGCGTCAGCGTCACCCGTCAGGAGGCGTAAGTGCCAAGGAGATGGTGATCGGACTGGAGGGAGTGGAGTTAGGAGCAGATGGAAAGGTGAGAAACCAACAAGAATTTTGATTACCAAAAAAAAAAAGTTGAAATGATCAGACTGTATTTAATGTTCTGAAGTATTTACAATGGCTGTAATATTATTATGACCTTCGTTTTTATTGTTTATATTTTGTCACAACAGAACCACAAACCTAAATAAATTTTTCGGGATCCTTTGTAACAGACAAACTCTAAGCATTTCATATTCTTGGGAATTGGGAAGAAAGAGGCTTCAAGATTATTTATATTGTATTATGTTTTTAAGAACAGCTTTTGTTCCTATTCAGCCCCATTACTCTGCTACACCTTATTAAAAACTACCTGTTATCATTACTATAGCATTCAGTCCTTAAATTTGCCTTTTAGAGGAAAGTCTTTTTTTGGCACAAGCAGACCTTAAATTGGCTGATAGGAAATTTGATGGAGATGGAAGGAAAGTGTCTGCAGGCTGAGTTAGGGACTGGGGCCTCCGTGTGTGGGTTGCTTTACCGCTATACTGCTGCAGCACCTAAGATGGTCAATATTGGAGGAATGATTAGTGGTTTGGTGCAACAAAAAACATTTTGGAGAAGGAGCCCTGTTCCAGCTTTTTGTAATAAATGCAAAACACTGCTGTGATACTAAAACTGTTTTAGACCCCCCCCCCCCCCCCCCCCCCCCCCCCCAACACACACACACACACAGTGAAAGTTAGGTTTTAGGGCTACAACAGTTAATCAGAACAAACTATTCTTAAAAGAACAAAAAATATTGATATAAATCTGTGAATTCACAACTTGTAGGCGAATCACTGTCCTCCAGACATCCACGGTTATATTTTTTATATTTATATCTTTCAAAAACAAAGCGGCGCGTGTATGACGTCATCCGCTCGCCGGCTTCCATTCATTCATCCTGTGCGCTGAACTGCTGCTAGTTTTACTCACATGCCTGGAAGATGTTTAGTGCTACTACCAAAGATGATCGCGCTCTTGAAATGGAATTGAACGATTCATATTATCTAGCCGAATGAATATAAGGCATAGAGCGTAGCCGCCTGTGGCCCGGGCTGCCTGTCACAACTCCAGTCCGGCACGCGGATGAGATCACACACATGCCGCTTTGTTCACCAGAACAGCTCCAAATGACACAAAACTCATATGGGTGAGTAGAACATGATGTAATAACATAAAATCCAGTGGCCAGTGTAAAAAAAACAGTGTTCACCTTTAATGGGGGATTTATTTTTATTTTTTTACAAAATATAAATATAAAAAATATAACCGTGGATGTCTGGAGGACAGTGATTCGCCTACAAGTTGTGAATGCTGGCGTACCATAAATGATAAATTATGAACAGTTTAGTTTGTGCCTTCAAGTCGACTGACCATAGGAAGACGTAACGGAATATATTCAGAACAGCTGCAGATGACACAAAACTCATATGGGTGAGTAGAACATGATGTAATTACGTAAAATCAAAGGGGCCAATGTAAAAAAAAAAACAAAAAAAAAAAACAGCGTTCCCCTTTTAAGCATTGTTTGCTTTTTAACTACTAACCACAAAATCTGACTTAAATTCGAGGAACCCGGACTTCATTCACCTTTTCTGAAATCTACTTTCCTTCAGAAGATTATGAAAGTTTTTCAGAGTATGTGAGATGATGAACGAAGAATAACTTGAGATGGGGCAGAGGTTCATCTTTCAGAACACTTATGACTCTACAATCACAGAAACAGGTGATTAGAGGCCCAGTCATCTAGGGTATTGGTGTCCTTTTACCTTTCAGATCCAACTGATCAACTCTGGCAAGACTTTGTGAAATAGGTCAAGCTCAATGGAAATAGATAAAGATTGTGTAATTTTTCTTCCAATAATAGATCAGAAAATGTTATTTTCTAGATGACAGACTGTTCAACAAATTATTCACACAAATGAATGAAACCCTGATTAAGATTTACATTTTTTTCATAAAAAATATCCCTTTTCTAGTCTATCAGAAGATTATAAAATGTGTTGAAGTTTGTGGTTATATTTTGACAAAAAGTTCAAGTTTGTGGATCCTTTTGAGGATGCTGTGCAAACATGTCTTACAAAAAAAAAAAGAAAGAAAAAAGAAATGTAACCCTGACATATTGTAAATCATATTGTTGCTAATTCATGCATTTCAGGATTTGTTTTGCGAAATAAACTCTAAATAAACCCATTAATCATTTAAAATTTTATGTTGCATAAACATGCATAAATACAAAAAGCATTAAGTTGCTTATTTAAAATTTTGCCCCTATGTTGAGGAGATACCCGCATCCAAAAATCAGCTGTATCAATATGCTGGATCATAAATATGAAACGGAAAAATAATGATTTGTTATTATGTATTAGACTGACGGCCGTTAGTTGGTCTGAAAAAGGGCCGTGAGCCAAAAAGTATTAAAGTATCCATAGAAGAGCTGAATCTGGAGTGCTTAACTATTATGATTACTAGGCTTTTCTCTGTAATATGGTAAAACCAATGGCAATGGATGGAGGAGCAGAAAGTTTTGCATCCCACCTGAAAACTAGTTTTTTAGATCAACATTTTCATTTGCAGACTGTTTCCTACACCCAATTCCTGTATTCCACAAATGTTCTGGGCGGTCGAAGGAACACCATCGACTCCACGTCCTCCTTCTCCCAGTCTAGAAATGCGAGCCATCGCAGCCTCAGTCTGGGCAGGGCCAACAGCAACCAGAGCAGCTTGGACACAGGTGAGTGAAGAGAAGCGGTTCACATGCAAAATCCAACTTAAAACTCATGCTGTCATGTTTGTTTATGCTCGCATCAGGGAACGAGTTTGGAGACTTTCGCGAGTATGACCCCAACCTGCTGGATGACCCGCAGTGGCCCTGTGGAAAACACAAGAGAGTGCTCATCTTTCCCTCCTACATGGTGAGAAAACACCGGGTCTGACAGGGCATCGCCACCAGCGGCAGCAACAACAAGCTCTGCTCTCTACAGAGCAGCTTCAGAAGGTTGTTTTCATTCAAAACAAATCCGAAGAGGCTATTCCCCGCCTTGACACGTAGTCTCAAAACACCCGGTTGTATTTGGCTGTGGCTATTTTTTTGACCTTTTGTGCTCAGCCTTCCCACCATAACTGAGAACAATAACACCGGAAAGATTTGTCTGCAGTTTATTCCTAAATAAAACATTTTAGAGTTTATCAGCCTTTTTTTGGGAGGGTTTTACTGGCGGTTTCTAATCGTGAAGGTCAGCGCTACAGTCTCCCACCTTAATGAAAACAGTCAATAAAACACTTTATCTTTACATAAAGCGGATCTCAAAAATGAATCCCGTTTTTTTTTTGTTCCTGAAGAGAACGGATGCTTTGTGGTGCTTGAGGAAAACATTGCAGAGCTTATTTCCCCCCTCATTCTTTCCTGCTGTGTTTTTTTTTTTGTGTGTCAACTTGCAGAATGAACAAGGACTGACATGATTAAAATGTTAGTCAAGGCCTCTCTCACTTCCTTCAATAGCAGAAACAAACTTCTGACAACAATGGCTATTGTGTTTACTTCAGGAATGGAAGAAGTACATTCTCTGCATTTCAAGAATGCAGGTTTCTCTGTCGACAACTAAAAGCAAATATGCGATTCTAAAAAGATGTGCTGATCACATAAAAAAAGAAATTATGTGCAATGTAAGTGGGCGGTTGCAGGGATTTCACTATTTTAGGGCATATTTTATAGAGACATATATTTTTATATTTATTCCTAATGAATAAAATTTTTTTTTCATTTTAACTTCAAAAAAATTTACTATTTCCGTTTCTCTATATCATAAAACTGATGTGAAAAAAAGTAAAAAGTGCAATGGACTATATCTGTAAAATGTCAAATATTTCACAGCTGTTTTTTTTTGTTTAATCTAGACTGAAGAAATTCTAGAAACGTTTGTAAATAAGCAGGTTTCTTATCGCCAAAAGCTCCAGAAACAGAAATGTTTGTTGATCCTTTTCCATTATCAGTGTTTCTTCTTGACTTTGAAGAGCATCTGAGGAAAAGCTGGTGTTCAATGAACAGTACAGACTTTTGAAACAAGCCTTTGTTCCCTCGGAGCATTAAACCTCGAAGGAAGTTTTTAAGGTGGACTTGATGTTTAAGGATGGACTTAAAGCTGTCAATAACCTATTTTAGGAAGCCACTTGTTTCTGCCTATGATTTGTAGGATTTACACTAGATATTTTAAGTGTTCAGATAGATTCTTCGTCAGACCTTGAAATCCAACACTCACACATGAGAATCTAATGGTTCCCATATAACAAGATCCTCGTGGGGATGTTGACACAGCTCTGTATTGTTTTATTCCAGACTACAGTTATTGAATATGTGAAGCCCTTTGACCTGAAGAAGGACATGAACGAGACCTTTAAGGAGAAATTCCCCTACGTACGGCTTACTCTCAGCAAGATACGGAGGTAAGCCAACCAAGAATCAAACTTCTGATTGATGCATTCATTAATTTATCCCTGTGTAATTTTGCTCTATTATATCTCTTCTGTCTCTTTCACTTTTTTCAAACTCTTCACTTTTGCATAGCTTGAAAAGGGAGATAAAAAAGCTGGCCCAGGATGAATGCGGGTACGAAGAGCCGACTGTGGCCATGGCTTTCGTCTACTTCGAAAAACTCGTTCTTCAAGGCAAGCTAAACAAACAAAATCGCAAGCTCTGTGCTGGGGCCTGCGTCCTCCTGGCAGCTAAGATCGGTGGTGATCTAAAGAAACATGAGGTCAAGCATCTTATAGACGTAAGTTTGCCTGTCCGCAAAACTAGAAAACAATGATTTTTTGTTTTTAATGTGTGCCCACTTTGGTGGATTTTCCAACTCTACTGGGGGAACTAATCCCTCCCTCTCTAAAGAGGCTTTTTACTGCATTTGCAAGCTGTTTTATAAAACATGGCAGGCTAAAGCAGGAGCCAACATGCACAGGCAGATCCAGTTTAGGGTAGAGCAACAAGTACTCTTTGGATATTTGCTTGAATAAGTCCTAAGGTTTCACACTTATGGCTTTTAACAGTAGCAGAAATTATTTTTGTTTTTAATTGCTCCTTCATTTGTAAAATTGTATAGTTTATGTTGTTCTGTCTCATCAAATGGGCCTCTATTGAAAATGAGATCTTCCATCTCAATGAGACTGCCTGTATAAATCACAAAAATAAAATTTTTTTGCTTTACTTTTTCCAGAACCACTAAATTTGTGGTTATATTTTATGAAAAATCACTGATAGATTTTTTTCAGAAAAATGTTCCTGAAGTTTCTTCAGTTCAGGTTATAAAAACTCCAGTCATTGAATTAAGATCAAAATTTAAATCTGTTTCTGAACCTTATCATATATAATCAGGTTATCAGCTGATTATATATGGCAACATGCTGAGGGTTCGGATGTGTTTGACATGACAAATTCAGTGCATAATCCTGCAGTGGTAAGAAAATAAGATCATACATTTTACAATACATTTGTTGTTGTTTATTCAAACTAATTCAACTTTTTAGGTTGAAATTAAATTGGATAGGCATATCTAATCTCATTTCAGCCTTTATGTTATATGTTACAGATCAGCGCAAATACAACACAATAGAAAAGGAAAAAGAAAACTAACATAAATCTGAACATACCATCCCCATTGTGAAGTGTGGTGGTGGCAGCATCATGCTCGGAGAATACTTACCCTACCTTAAACCCACAAATTAGATCCCAGCCTACTGCATTAAAAATCACTTTATTAGTCAATTAAATCTCCCAGTTAGTTTAGGTGCCCTTGGTGCCTTTGGATATTTTTTGTTTTTTAAATGTCATTGATAAACTGATAAAATGTTTTGTTCTAACAGTTTTGAAAATGGAAAGAACTGGGCACACCTGAAAACTTCCAGCTAAATTGAAAACTGGACAGAGATGACATTAATGTGAGGCAGTCATGAGGACTGCAATAACTGGAGAAAATCCACAGCTTTTTTATGTGAATTCTCTCTGCAGAAACTGGAGGAGCGATTCAGAGTGAACCGCAGAGAGCTGATAGCCTTTGAGTTTCCTGTGTTGGTGGCGCTGGAATTCAACCTGCACCTTCCAGAACACGAGATCATGCCTCACTACAGACGCCTGCTGCAGACCTCTTAGCATTGGTGAACCATCAGGAGGAAAGCAGTCGAGTTCTCCTCCTGATCCCCCCCCCCCCCACCCGACCCTCACAGAATCCTTCCTCCATGATGGATTCGGACCACTATACAGGTGCTGGTCATAAAATTAGAATATCATGAAAAAGTAGATTGATTTCAGTAATTCCATTTAAAAAGTGAAACTTGTATATTATATTCATACATTACATACAGTACAAACTCATATATTTCAGATGTTTATTTTGTTTAATTTTGATGATTACAAATGACAACAAATGAAAATCTCAAATTCATCATATCAGAAAATTAGAATATTACTGAAGACCAATAAAAACAAAGGATTTATAGAAATGTTGGCCAACTGAAAAGTATGAACATGAAAAGTATGAGCATGTACAGCACTCAGTATTTAGTTGGGCCCCCTTTGGCCTGTATTACTGCAGCAATGCGGCGTGGCATGGAGTCGATCAGTCTGTGGCACTGCTCAGGTGTTATGATAGCCCAGGTTGCTCTAATAGTGGCTTTTAGCTCTTCTGAATTGTTGGGTCTGGTGTATTGCATCTTCTTCTTCACAATACCCCATAGATTTTCTATGGGGTTAAGGTCAGGAGAGTTTGCTGGCCAATTAAGAACAGGGATACCATGGTCCTTCAACCAGGTACTGGTAGCTTTGGCACTGTGTGCAGGTGCCAAGTCCTGTTGGAAAATGAAATCTGCATCTCCAAAAAGTTGGTCAGCTGCAGGAAGCATGAAGTGCTCTAAAACTTCCTGGTATGTGGCTGCGTTGACCCTGGACCTCAGAAAACACAATGGACCAACACCAGCAGATGACATGGCACCCCAAACCATCACTGACTGTGGAAACTTTACACTGGACTTCAAGCAACGTGGATGAAGTGCCTCTCTTCTTTTTCTCCAGACTCTGGGACCTTGATTTCCAAAGGAAATGCAAAATTTACTTTCATCAGAGAACATGACTTTGGACCACTCACCAGCAGTCCAGTCCTGTTTCTCTTTAGCCCAGGCAAGACGCTTCTGACGCTGTCTGTGGTTCAAGAGTGGCTTGACACAAGGAATGCGACAGCAGAAACCCATGTCTTTCATACGTCTGTGTGTGGTGGTTCTTGAAGCACTCACTCCAGCTGCAGTCCACTCTTTGTGAATCTCCCCCACATTTTTGAATGGGTTTTGTTTCACAATCCTCTCCAGGGTGCGGTTATCTCTCTTGCTTGTACACTTTTTTCGACCACATCTTTTCCTTCCCTTCGCCTCTCTATTAATGTGCTTGGACACTGAGCTCTGTGAACAGCCAGCCTCTTTAGCGATGACCTTTTGTGTCTTGCCCTCCTTGTGCAAGGTGTCGATGGTCGTCTTTTGGACAACTGTCAAGTCAGCAGTCTTCCCCATGATTGTGTAGCCTATAGAACTAGACTGAAAGACCATTTAAAGGCTTTTGCAGGTGGTTTGAGTTAATTAGCTGATTAGAGTGTGGCACCAGGGGCCATCAATTTTGAACCTTTTCACAATATTCTAATTTTCTGATATGATGAATTTGAGATTTTCATTTGTTGTCATTTGTAATCATCAAAATTAAACAAAATAAACATCTGAAATATATGAGTTTGTATGTAATGTATGAATATAATATACAAGTTTCACTTTTTAAATGGAATTACTGAAATCAATCCACTTTTTCATGATATTCTAATTTTATGACCAGCACCTGTAGATGAAACCCCTCTTTCCTCTGCCTTCACTACCATTCGCCAAAAAAAAAAAAACTACTTTGTATTCTTTCACACCTAACATCACTACAAGGACTTCATAGCAGTTTATACGTCTCATCAGCTTATCTTCAGGACTTTGTACATTTTCTCTTGTTGATTAAGAGAATGTTTCTTCAATTTTTGTTTAGTTCATCTACCCCTCCTCCGTGTTACCTCGTAAGCTGCATAAAAGATTTAACAAAGACCTTTTTTTTTAAGCCACCTTTTCAGGCTGGACTGTTATTCCTCTGGAGTGATTCGTCTCTTTGCAAGCCTTTGTATTAAAAGTGTACTTTTTGCATACTGCAATATTTTTTTAAACTCATCTCGGGAACTAACCCAGAGGAACAATAAGCTAAACACATAAATGTAATTGGACCTTTTAATACTGCTTTTTTTTTTTTTTTTGGCTCATCAGAAGACTTTTCTACCAACAGAAATCTGCATGAGTGTTTATTGGTCTTTGTACTGGGGTAGAAAAGATGCGGCCTTTCTGTTTGGATCGTTTTCTACCACTTAAATGCTTGCTGCGGACTCCCCGAGGCCAGACATGCTTTTATCAGTGTCAAATTTCCTGTGCTCTATGTTAGAGTGTAATGCTGGCACATTTACGGTGCTTTGTTGCTGGGGCTGTAACGTGTGCTAAAAACGCCATTAACCAACGAGCGGGGCTGGTAATGGTGTGCTCGGTCGTCGGGGGTGAGGGGGGGTAATGATGTGGGAAGAGACCCGTGCCTGCTAGTATATCTCCTCTGCTGAAGTGTCCTTGAACAAGACACCAGGGTTCTTCCAGGCAAAAAAGAGACATTTGTTTTTAGCCCACTAATGACCTCTGTGAGGAATCTAATTAAAGCGACGGGGAGCAGATAGAAGTTGGAACATTACGGTAGCTTTATTTTGAAGTTTTTGCTTTACTTTTAATTCATTTCAACTGTGTAAAAATTGCTTTTCTGGTCTAATCTTAGAGCTTTGAAATGTGTCACACACTACCAGAGTTTTGACAAGTCGCTGCATTTAAAGTGTAAAATAAAGCTGTTATTTGGTGCTGCTCAAGGGATGAACAGTGTTTCAAGATGAAGTGTTCCTAAAATAATTTTTCATCATATCAAAATAGATTGTATTGTTTTTACAGTAAATGAATGCTCCTTTTCTGTCTGCAAGTCCAAAGAATTTGCTATTTGATGCACTATGAGTACGCTGTGAGTAAGGGCTCATGGGTGAAAAGCTTAACCTGTGTTTGTAAATAAAACATTTCTTTGCTTGTTCAATTTTAACCTGACTTTTTTTTTTGTCTCCACTTTGTTTTAAAAAGAAAAGACAATCAATAGAAATGTTTTTTGTTTTTTTTGCAGACATGCTTAATCGTAACACTTTGTCACTCCCAATTTTGAATGTATTTATGTGAATGACCAACAAAGTGCTTCATGGTATCCAAAAATTATAGTTCAGTTGTCAAGTTTTCCTACAGATGGAAACCTTTATAGGTTGGCATGTAGCTGAGTTTTACCCTCGATTATGCCTCTGAAAACTAATGCTGCACATCACCCAATCTCTGAAGCACGGTGGTGGCACTTTCATGCTGCATCATTAGGGACAGAGAAACTGATTAGAGTTGATTGGATGTTAAAGGCGGCTAAATATGGGGCCATGCTAAAAGAAAAGCTGCCAGAGGCCAGAAAGGGCTGCAGCAAAAGTTCCCTTCCAGCAGGAAGTAATACTGTTTCATAAAGCGTCCCTGAGCCCGGGCTAAAACCCACAAAGCTTTTAGCCTATAGATGTTTAAAGCTCTTAGATATAACCCATTTACAACTCTAATAACAACAATTTTATGCACTAATGATTGTACTGAGAGCATGGTATGATTTTTTTTAGGTTGTGAGAAAAAGGTTTCAACTCCTGTATCATTTGAAGCTGCAGGAATCTTGACTTTCTGCAAGAGCCCCCCCTGAATGTGCATTTTTGGGATTACGGCGCACTTTTATTTCTGTTCGAAGCTGCTTTTTTTAACTAAAGGAAAATACGTAAGTATAGCCCTAACATAACAGTAGGCCAGTACAAAAAAAAAGGTAATACATACAAATCAAAATATTGAAAAAAGCATTCTCAAATTAAATAATTTGGCAATAATCTTCCTTAAAGGAATAGTACACCCAAAACATGATTAGCCTTCATTTTCTACTCACCCCCATGCTGAACAACACTCTGGAGTAATTTTTTGATATCTCAAATGCATCTGGAGATCTGGGAGGCTTCTTGCTGTCTGCTGACATTCAAATAATGGAGATCTATGGTGACCGAGACAGAAAGGTCCATAAAAGTCCACAAAAAACGTGTCAATATTCCTCCATACTGCTCGTCCAATGTATTCCAAGTGTCCTGAGTGGGTAGCATCCAGAATTTACTCGAAACGAAGTCATTTAGAATGTTTTTAGAGCATAAACAGTAGTGTATAGGATTTCCTGAAAGCGCGCACACGCGCGCTCACGACGCTACGGAAGCCGGCAGATCAAACCAGATGAAAGTGCGCATTCAGCGTCTGATCTTCCAATAATGCAAGCATAGAAGAAGAAATGTGCTGTTTACCGGTGCAAAGAAAGAAACAACGAAAGAAAAATATCTGAGGACTTCAGTGTTGAGGAAGAGCATGAGTTCTTTGCCGAGCTGAATGCGCTGGTTTGGTCTGCCGGCTTCCGTAGCGTCGTGAGCGCGCGTGTGCGCGCTTTCAGGAAATCCTATACACTACTGTTTATGCTCTAAAAACATTCTAAATGACTTCGTTTCGAGTAAATTCTGGATGCTACCCACTCAGGACACTTGGAATACATTGGACGAGCAGTATGGAGGAATATTGACACGTTTTTTGTGGACTTTTATGGACCTTTCTGTCTCGGTCACCATAGACCTCCATTATTTGAATGTCAGCAGACAGCAAGAAGCCTCCCAGATCTCCAGATGCATTTGAGATATCAAAAAAGTACTCCAGAGTGTTGTTCAGCATGGGGGTGAGTAGAAAATGAAGGCTAATCATGTTTTGGGTGTACTATTCCTTTAACCACAAAATTAAACACTTATTTAAAGGAACCGACATCATTCCGTCCTTAACAGAAAGTCAAGACAGATATTTTTTTCAGACTACTGGCCTTTTATTATTTTTGAATGAAGGCAGACATGAAATGGGATTCAAACCTGCGCCAGCCACTTAAAGGACTAAATTGTGAGACCCTTCTTTACATGGTTCTCTGTCAAGATGGTATTAAAATAAAATTGCATGTGTCAAAATGTGGGCTAAAAATGGTGGTAACCTCCTGTGATATAACTTTAGGAGATAAAACCCACCTGATCTTTTGAGGATGTGTCCAGGGAGCCTGCAAGATCCATTCAGACCCAGCAGGTACTAGAGAGAAAGAAGGGAGTTTTTTTAAATGTCTCAGAATTTCCATAAAACTCCACACATCCGTTCAAGTTCAGCTAAAACCCACCCATAATCCCATCTGATAGTTATTTTTATTTTTTCCAAGCAGACGGTAAACCTGTCAAACCAGCTCTGCAGCCATTTTTCATCTCCAATGTTCCCCCTCTTCAAACTGAGCCAGTCTTAAAAGTCTGCCTGCCAAACTGGGTTGTTTTCTTTTTTTCTACCTGTTCCATTGTGACTCTGAATGGATACTAACCAATGCCATGGGAGTGATATTTATCTTGTCCTGACACGAACTCTTCATTTTAAGATTTCTTCATATCTGAGAATATGTATCAGTTTGATTATTATCTGAACACAAACAGGCCTTGCAAATGCTTTCATATTTTTGCATAAAACATTGAAAGAATATAAGATTTGATGGATTGGGATTTGATTCACATTATTGATCAGAGAAACAACCAAGTGGTATTTAGTTACTATGAAGGAGCAGCAAAGATCAACAACTTCAGAAGGAGAATCTATTAGTGTTTCACTTCAACATTTAATTGAAAGAGAGTTAAAAGAAACCTTATATTCTCAAGTTGTCAGGAGACACTGCAAAAATGTTAAATAAGGTACTCTGGTCAGATGCCATTACAATGAAGCCATCTTGTGAGCTTAATTTTACACACAGGCCACAAGTATGGTGAAAGCTACTGCTGAACATCAGCTCTGATTCCCTGTGCTTATGGTGAAACATGGTGGTGGCAGTACCATGATGTAAGGATGCTTTTCTTTAGAGCAGGTGTTCACATCTGATTGGGGAAAGGAATGAATGTAATGTCAGAAAACCTGTAAATGGCCGGAAATGCTCAAGACTGAGGTGAGGGTTCAGCCTACAGCCTGGCAATAGTAAACATGCAATCGTAAGTACAGTGAAGTGGTTTAGATTACAGAATGCTGTTAGAATGTTCCAGTCAAAGTCCAAACCTGAACATAATCTAAAATCTGCATCGTTTTGAGTGTTTGTTCACAGAGGCTCTCCTTTCATGATTTGGTAGATTACACGCCTGCTTACTTCAGACCAGCTTCAGTACCATCTGATTGAATTGTCTCTGTAAAGTGGTGTGAGATGACATATTGTTAACTGATGTTATATAAATAAACTTAAATTAATTTAAATTAAATAAAGGCGCAAACAATTTTACAGAGAATAAAATTCAAAATTGCTATTATAGAGTGTTCTGGAGACCTATAGGCCAACACATCTGCTGCTGTAACTAAACTATGAGGTAGTTCATTAAAGTTACAAGTAGGGCTGTCATTAACGATTATGTTGCTAATCGATTAATCTGTCGATTTAAGAATCAGATGCTAAAGGTTAATTAGAGAAGACCTTTGACAGAACTACTTAAAACTAAAACTTTTCTACTTGAGTTGTGGATAGAGCATATTGACTGACAAAAAGTATTCTTTATCTTAAATGCAAAATGTAATAAAAAATTTTATCACAGTTTTGATATAATTACTGCTTTAAGATGGTTGCTGTCAGCTAAAGACATGTTTTAGAGTATTCTACCTCTACTAAATTAGTAGACAATTATTTCAAATTAATCACGATTAATCCAATTAAGTGTTTCAGCCCTAGTTACAAGATTAGCTGCCAAAAAATGTGTTGATTCATGGTGTCTACCTTCTGCTTTATGCACCACTGTGTGTTGGTCTGTAGCCTAAAGTTCCAATAAAACACTCATAAGTTTTGCAATGTTACTGAAATTTAAACAGCTTAAATTTTTTTTATATATATATTTTCAAAATTAAGCACCAACCGAATCAACAAAGCAAACTATAGTAGCAGAAAAACCTGTAGATTAACTGATTTTGATTGAATCCTTTTCTTAGAAGTCTCACTTTTGTCTCTTAGTAAATAAAACCACTGGGACCATAGTGTTCAGTGAGCAAACCAATGAGACATGTCAGAATGAGTCTCCTGTTATTGGGATCATCTTATCTTAAAAACGTACAGCTAATGACATCATAGATCTCAGAGACTGAGGGAGTTTTAACTTTCTTTTTTACAAAAAGAAAAGGTGAGAGTTGGATACACAAAAAAAGGAAGGACTATTGTTGGGATGATACTGGAACTAATTGCACCTGTTGCTCTGATGCAATAATTTTTTTATCAGGTGGGAGCTATCCTTGACCTCACACACACATCCTAGGTAAACAAGGCCCTAAGTCTCACCGGACCTATGCCTTCAAAACAAACAAACTGGGCCCAACTGGGCCCGGGTGTAGGCGAACGCCACACAAGGCTTAGTCCCCCTCTATTGAAGGCCTAATTCCCCCACACTGTCTCATAAAGCGTGCTATTGACAGGGCTTCCTGAGTCCAGCTCACACATAAGTGACCCTCACTGTGAAAATATGTGTTCCATCGTTGAGAGGAATCCATCTCTCTTTGCTTTAAAATAACACCACGCAGCTGAAACTGCATTTTTGCTCCCTTCCTGTCATGATGCAGTGACTCAGGGGTTTTCCACCTTCTGCAGGTTGTAAACATTGTTGTTTGGCTGCAAATGTCCGATTCTGGTTTCGTTTCATTTTATTTGCTTGATTTTTGGATAAATCCACCCTGTTTAATATACGACCACATTTGTTTTCTGAAGCTGGTCGGAGGTCAGCAGGGGGGTAAATCACTGCAGGTGGAACTAAAAATCTGATCCTGTCTCAAGGCGGCTACCTAATCCCTTTGTTCCAACCGAAGGTACAACTGAGCCTGGCGTAACAGAAAACCACTGACGCAAAGCAGACATTAATCACCTCTTATACTTATTTATTAAACGATGTTGGAGTAAAATACAGCAGTAGGAGTAAA